CGGCCGCATCCGCGAGATCGAGCTCAAGAACCGGCACGGCCTCGTGCCCTTCGCCTTCGTGCGCTTCGAGGACCCCCGGTGAGGCCCCCGCGCCACCAGACCGCGGACCCGAGGCCCCGGGCCCCCACCTTCTCCCGTCCTCTTCCCCCTCCCTTTCCGCGGCCTCCCCTCCCCCCTCGCCGCAGACCCCTCACGGCGCCCCCGGGTGGAGGCTGAGGCCTCCTCTCACCGCGGGGCTCCGGGCCGTCCTTTGCTCCATCGTCACTTCCTCTATTATTATTTTTTTACTTTACTTAAAAACACAAAAGCTGGGCCTTGGGAGGGCCCAACCCCGCGCAGACCGGCCTCTGGGATGGTACAGATGCCCATTCCTTCCCTCACGGCTGGACAGGCACCCTTCGTGGGAAGTGATGCAGGGCTTGTGAAGCTTGGCCCCTGAGCCGGCCCGGGAGAGGACTCGGTGAGGAGAAGTGGTCGGTCGCCTTCCCAGCCCACCCCTCCCCCAGCTGGAACCCGCCGTTGGCGGGGCGCGCAGTGCGGGGATGTGGGTGCCTTTGGAGCGCAGAAAGGGGTCTCTGATGGAACAGGTCTCCATCCAGGCGCGCCCCGCCTCAAAATGCCGGGGCTTTTTCTTATAAAAGCATCAGGGATTTGGGAAAACTTCTAAAACAGTCTGGAGGGCTCTCTGAGTTCACTCTTAATCTAGTGAAGGAAGCGCCGCTAGCTGCTAAGGGCCCCAAGGATTTGGAAGCTCTCCATCCCGAAACCCAAAACCGGCTTGAAGGAGTCCTTGTGATTTTGCGAAGAGGGTCGACCCTTGGGCCGGAAAAGGCTGGGAACTTTCAAAACTGCGGTTGGTGGTTCTTAGAAGCCATCTCGCTCTGCTGGTTACTACACTCGGGGTAAACAGGAGCCTGCTCTCTGTTTTCCAGCATCGTCTCAGGGGGCGCTTTGCCTGGTCTGCGACCTTCGGGCTTCACTGCAAGGACTGACCCTGGGGTGTCTTACCCATCTGGTGTGGTTGTACAGGCAAGGAGAGCCTCTGAGGATGGGGAGGCAGGAAGCACCCTGAGGCTTTGATGGTTGAAGACTCTTGACAGAGCTCATTCCTAGCGTTTTGCCATTTGCCTCAGAAATGGAACTAGGCGTTTTCACACCTAAACTGGAAAAGGTTGCGCCACTATTAATTAGATAACAGTCCTAGTTGTTATGTGTCACGTATCATGCTATGTATCATTTAGCATTTTCAACAACTTGTAAGGTAGGCACCGTTAACCACATTTTATGGATAAGGAAACTGAGGATTTAGAGTTGATAACAGAAGGCTACTAAGGGAAGATAAGATTTGAACCCCCCTGTTCTGCCCTTTCAAATACAAACTTGCTGTGTGATATGCTACATTGTCATCTCGTCCTTCATTCCTTTCATAATAGAAGAGCTATCTTTTCATACCACTAGATGCCAAGTTTCAAGCAAAGCACTGCGCACACAGTGTCTTAGTTAATCCTTACAAAAACCCTGTGAGACAGGGTTTCTCACATTTAGAGATGTAAAAATCTTGATCAAATACTTACCCAGAGAAACTACTAAGTTAAGTAGCCAAAGAATGATTTGAACTGAGGTCGATTTGTGTTCATAGGCTGCTCGTAAACTCTTGCAGTTCTGCCTTTCTTCCTCTGTATTAAGAACTTAGCTAGGGTTGAACTGGACGTGGTCCTTATTGCTTTTAATCCTGTGACTAGAATCTTGGTAAACGATTATGCGCCTGTGACAAGTGAATGATGCCTTCATTAGTATGTTTTCAGCTCTGCTTGTCCTCCCAACCTCTGAGGGCATTCTTTCTCCCATCAATACTGGAGAAGCGACTTGGCATTCCTAACTCTCCTAGAGCCCTAGGGAAGACTTAAAGTATTACTTTATTGGATATTTACCTCTTTCGTTGAAATTGTACTGAGTGGTTTTGACAACTTAGTCCTCCAAACCATGCTGAAAAGGTACACTTGAGGGAATCCCATATTCCTCACAAAACACTAATTTGCATTTGTCTTTTGAGCTTTTATCTCTTTCCCTCTTCTTAAATGGGTTTTTCTTTCTATAGACTTGATGGTACTAGGCCTTGAGAGTATTAAAGGAGTAGTGTGTGGTGTGCATTTTGAGAAACAGCTCACCACGGTTAGAAAAACACTTTCCTTGGCAAAATCAATCATCTGTCAACAGTTTGTTTTCATCTGAATTAGACCTCTTGTAAGTAATCTATTTATTTATTCATTATCATTTCATACCTAGAGAACCCTGTGTGTGATAGCTATAAAGTTCTATCCCAATATCATTAAAGGTTTTCAAACCAAAGCAGTAGGGTATCAAGCTTTGGGTTTTTTTTTCCTCACTCAAAGTTTCCTTTTTATACTTGTTATTCATGCCCCTCATGGGGAAGTCATTCTGCCTTCCTGAGCAGCACTAACTCCAAACTTTTCTTTGCAGAGATGCTGAGGATGCAATTTATGGAAGGAACGGTTATGATTATGGCCAATGTCGGCTTCGTGTGGAGTTCCCCAGGACTTATGGAGGTCGGGGTGGGTGGCCCCGTGGTGGAAGGAATGGGCCTCCTACAAGAAGATCTGATTTCCGAGTTCTTGTTTCAGGTATGTTCCTTTCAAACTGAATGAGATAATGCATGTAAAATACTTAGCACAGAGTCTGACCTCCAAGAGATGTTATTCTTTAGTGCATGGGATATGTGGGGTTTCCTTTTCAATAGCCTACGTGCAGTGACAGTCTGAAGCTCTACCAGTGAGGCAGGTACCTTACCAATGAAATTGCACTGATAGTGCAGCCTTGGTAGAACATAAACTTGCTTCTTATAAAGGAGTTTTCTAGTGTTGAAAGGGAAGATGATGATAAAATCCCTTGAGCTGGAATTCTAAAGACATTTTCTTTTGGAATGTGCCCTGCTATCAGACTTGCTAGAAAGACATTCCAGGAACCAGATCTGAACATATTACCCAGCCTTGAATCCTAAAATAGGCCAGATTTTATGGTGGTTTTGGAATTATATAGAAAAGAAAACAAACAACTTGGAGTCTTAGGGATTGTATTGCAAAGTATAGAATGAAATGTCTAGTGTTGACAAGTGATGAAATGCTAAGCTCAGAGGTTTATGCGTCTTTTTGAAATAGTTAACACACTGGTAAAGACCTGGGGCTGGGGCCTTCTGCACGCAATATTACTGGGCTGTTTTAGGGCCCTGGTGGAGTGAAATGTATTGAGGAACCTCGCACCTTCTTAGACGTGAATGTCACACAATCACAGCAGACTCCCGTGGTGCTTAAGAGTGATACTGTCAGTATCTGCCTATCTGTGTCCCTTGTAATTTTTTTAACCCCAGAACTCTATTCCCTCCTTCAGGATGTCATACATATCTTTTTTTCTCTCCATGCTGCTCTGAAATCCTGCTTAGAAAACTATTAGGAAATGGCTGCAGTCCTGAGCTGTGAGCGGTAAACACAGCCTTTGAGAGCAGGAGCACATTTCCCTTTCATGACATCAGGTAGGGTTGTATGACTCCCGACTAGTTTTAGCGTCTGAGTCTTACCTTTTCCCCTACTGTATTGAAGAATGTTGGTGATCTTTTAAGAGGTACTTTATCTAGTTTGTCAGTCATTCTTACCTACAAGAAACTTTAGGTTTTTGTTGTGTTACTTCAGTTACACTTTGGTTATCTTACTGGATGGTTTCAAAGTTCCCGTGTCCTGGGAACCCAGTCAGGCAAGAAATAATTGGTACTGATAAATTTCATAATGGAAAAAATTAGAACTCAAAGCCTTGGGAGTTTGTTATTAATTATGAAGCACAAAGAAAGAGAAGCTCTGAATTCTTAGAGATACTAAACCTGTAGTGGGATGGACTTCTTGCTTTGTTGAAAAGGCTTGGTCTCTGGAAACTTAGCCTAGGCCCAGCTTCTTATGGTGGTTTACCACACATACTTTAGTGCTTTTCTCTGGTTTTGTGTCCCTTATCAAGATTTGTGATATGAGGACCCTCAGGATTTAAGAGTAGTGATTGATGAAGAAGGGACCCTAGGTCTTGATGGCTCTTAACAGTTAATATGGATGAAGGATGTGGCCTCTTCTCTTATGTTCTCCGTGCCTAGGACTCCCTCCATCAGGCAGCTGGCAGGACCTGAAGGATCACATGCGAGAAGCTGGGGACGTCTGTTATGCAGATGTGCAGAAAGATGGAATGGGGATGGTTGAATATCTCAGAAAAGAAGATATGGAATATGCCCTGCGTAAACTGGATGACACCAAATTCCGCTCTCATGAGGTGGGTCCCCACCTTCTGTTGAGCTTGTACCCAGAGCACTCCACCTGAAGCTGACCTGGCAGAAGTAGCAACAGGCCATGCGTTTGCATTTGATGACCGCACAGTACCATTAAAGATCTGTCTTAAGTGGACAAAGCCAAGGAAGTCATCATGCCTAAGCCCTGCAGGGTCATAACAGAGAGGCGTCTGCAGTCATGGTATTTTTAACCCGGAGAGAATACCTGTGCAGTCTGTCATAATGTGGTGAGCTATTCTGTGATAACACCCTTTTCACACCTGGCTTACTCTGCAGTGTCCCTCCACAAACGTCATTATGGCTCTCCCTCCTCTGGGTCTAATCCTGGCTCTGCAGGCCAGCCTCTTCGTCTCAGCCCTTCTGAGTACTGCTGAACTGTCACTTCACTGTGCCTTTCCTGAAGCGGTGCAGGAGTTAGTGTCACTGGAGCCCTTGGCATTTTCTTGTGGTTCATTACCTCACCCTGGGGACTCAGCTTTTGATGTCCTTCCTTTCAAGAAGGTGGCTGCTGCTTTGGGTCTCAGTCTAATTCAGATGGTGATTGTTCCTTTGATACCATTGAGACCAGATACCAGACCACCAGTTGGACTTTTTTTTTCTGGTTATCCTATCCTAACTTGCTATGGGGTTTAAGGATGTCTGGAGACATGAATTTCTTTCTGGGCCTATTTCTTTTTCTGAGGATTCATATAATTCCCTAACTTTATGGCTTGGAGACTGCATGGCTAAACAATGCTTTTGCTCAATCCTATCCTCTAAGACTTGAATTTGGAGCAGAAACAAAACAGCACCTGATCCTCAGTTATGCTGCAAAGTAGGGCCCCAGTAAGAGTAAATCACATTACTAACTTCACTGAGGAAAGAAGCATCTGGCTTCTTTCATCTTAGCATCTTTAGATCTGAGAATGTTGGCTGAGGACAAAGGGCCTGGAGACAGGCCAGCCTGGACATGACTCTGCTGCTTGTTAAAATCTTAGCTGAGCTACTCTCTGAGCCGTGGTTCCTCCATATGCAAAATAGTCACAATAATAGCATTGTCTTACAAGACTTTCCAGGAAGCTTAATTATGAAGATAATTAAGCATCTAGTCCAGGTCCTGACACCTGGAAGGTGTTGAATACACATTAGCTCCTTCCATGGGTGCCTATCGAAAGATGCATATGTGAGGTGGCAGGGGACTGAACTGTATTTATGACTTCTGAGATCCTTTTCAGTTCTCAGATTCTGAGAGTGAGTGGCAGTAATTCAGGTATGTTAACAGTAGTAGCTAGTATTTATTTACCACATAATCGAGTTGCCATTTATTATTTGTGTCACCTTGGGCAGATGGTACTTAGTTTTCCTCATTCTTGAAGTGGACAAGTAAGAATATCTACCTCCTGCACCGCTGTGAGGGTTGAATGAGGTAGCATTGTGCCAAGCGAGCCGTAGAACTATCAGTTAGGCAGCCATGTTAGCGGTGGTATGCTTTATTCTTCTGGGTCTTATTTTTTCCTTTACTTTTTTGTTTGAATTTCAGGGTGAAACTTCCTACATCCGAGTTTATCCAGAGAGAAGCACCAGCTATGGCTACTCACGGTCTCGGTCTGGGTCAAGGGGCCGTGACTCTCCATACCAAAGCAGGGGTTCCCCACACTACTTCTCTCCTTTCAGACCCTACTGAGACAGGTGATGGGAATTTTTTCTTTATTTTTTAGGTGAACTGAGCTGCTTTGTGCTCAGAATCTACATTCCAGATTGATGACTTAGTGTCTTAGGAAATTTTTTAAATTTTTTTTTAAAGGAAATAAAACTACATAATTTCTACCAGGGCCATATTAGCAGTGAAACATTTTTAACTGCAGAAATTGTGGTTTTGGTTCAGAAACAAGTTGTATATTTTTCACCCCTGATTATGGGAAAAAAATCAGTGCTGTGTCTTTGTGGGTTGCTCTTCTATGGAGATCAGCAGTTACTGTGACTGAGTCGGCCCATTCTGTTTAGAAATATATTTTAACGTTTAGTAATTGACACGTGTGGTTGTCCTTGATTACGTTTATAGATTTCACCATACAGGCACACAAAAATCAAGTGGTAGCAGCACTTTACACCCAATTGGTAAGAAGCAGGAGTAGATTATTTTATCTAGGGGATAAAGATAATTGCTCTGATGGTGGTTTGAGAACTTCAATCCCAAGGGCAGGTTCAGGGTTCTCTTACAATTCAAGGGCAACCATGTAAAGCAAGCAGCTTTAAAGAAGAAGATGCAGCTTTTAAAGCAAAAGGGAGCTTTGCAGATAGGGGAAGGGAATGGGAAGACTCAAAACTGACTTTAAAGTGGACACCAACATACAGAAAAAAACCCCTCTAAATTCTGGTACTATCTTTTTCACTCCTAAATTTGCCTCATTTGTCCTTGGTATCAGAGCTTTAAAAACCAACCCTGAACCAAACCCCACTATCTTGGATTCTGTTCAATTCAGTAATCATGGGGCAAGGGGCCTACTTTGTTGCAGGCTCAGGGCTATCCCCAGCCACCCCCCCAACCTAAAACACTTTATTGAAGTATGGTTGACCCGTAAAAAGCTATACTTATTTAATATTTACAAGTCAGTGACTTTGGGGTTAAGTATACACATGAAATCATAACTATGAAGGCCATAAATATATCCATCACCTCCCAAAGTTGCCTCCCTACTCCTGTTACCTTAGCAGAAAGTCAGCCTTCTATTTGGAACAAAGTGGGTACCCAGGAATGAATTCAAATGTGTTCAGTAAAGATAAAAGGCTGCTCAAGTTGACAGAAAAAGCACCTAAAAATGACAGCTCAGGTTGTCACACAGTGATCAGATGCAATGTCTAGCGGTTACATAAATAGAAAAATTCACTTAAATGCAGTTTGGTAGACAGTCTCATGGGGAGGGGTTAAAGTCTTTCACACCAAACAGCCTGTGAGTAAATACTTGATTCATTTCCTTGGGAATGGCAACACCTACTTCCATTGGCATCAGGAACTCATTGCCTTGTTTTTGCTAGATCTTTCCCAGTTGTCTTCAGAAGAGATAGTTACTAAAAAATACTTAACCGTCAGTTTTTTTACAGATGACTGGAGGAAGTGGGAACATTAGTGTTTATAATAACGAAACAGTCAGTGCACTTCCATGTGTTCATAAAGCACCCCTCCCCAGAATAGCTACTCAGCGGTGTGAGAAGGGCCTTTTTCATCCGGCTTTGACCAAGAGATATTACCTGTTTGAAAACAGTAACAAAAAAGAATGTTATAGCTGAACCTGCTTCCCAGTTGGCTCCAAACTGAGCTAACTTATCACATAGTTTGTCATGAAAAATAAGCAATAGAAATGTGTAGTTACTATCCTGTTTCTGTAACTATGAGTATCTGAAAGAATCACAGTTCTGAGTGATGCCTAATTAATGCACACTTCAGTAAGGAGCAGAGACAGGTTGGCCAGTCATTTATATGCATGTAGGAGAGGAGAGACTGCGAACTCAGTTCTTCCCAAGAAGCAAAGTCTGACACAAAGTTCTATTTGAGAACTAGCATATGATCAATGAATATGTTTGCTGAAACAGCAACTATCAGACTCTTGAGATGGAGAGATTATAAAATCTTATTTCTCTCCACAGTTAACTGAGGTAGTTTAGTTAATCAGAGGCATGATTAAGAGTTGAGTTCACAAATTTTTTAGCTTTCCTTCCCATCCTTGCTTCAACCAGAGCTTTCCTTTAACTCGTTGGTTAGACTTGATCAAAGAGTTAATCCCTGAGCTGGAGGGCTGATGTTTGTCTCTGGAGGCTGCTCAGAATGGTTCTCCTCTGAGGGGATCTCCTGAACTTGAAGTTGGCACTTGGAAAGCCATCTACCTGAGTGCTCAGGCTACTCCCATCCCCAAATGTCCAGAAGGGTGCAGGAGCTCTGAGGACTCACCTACCTGCAGAGGAGATAACAGTTCAACCCACCCAAGGTCTGAGTTTCATCACTGACCCAGAGTTTTCTTTCAAGCTTCCATTTAAAATAGTTACAGTGAGGTTTAAAGATGCAAATCTCTACACTAGGGGTTGCAAACTGATGACTCACAGGATGCATCTGGCTTGCAGGTATATTTTATTTGCATGGTATTTCATTTTTTAGTTGGATTAGTTCTCAACACTTAAAATATGGGAAATAACACACAAAATGCCAGATTTCTAGGTTCTCTTGGAAAATGGGCTCTCATTCCTGCCTGGTGCTGAATGAGAAGTAGCACATGCCAGCTGCCCCCTTAGGCTGAGCTTGAGCTCCAGATATGCCGCTGTCCCTAGAGGTGACTGTGACCCATGGAGTCTACTGCCACCTGTATGTATGTTACATTTTTTTTCATTGTTAATACATGTGGTTTTTAAAGAATTATTATTTCCAGTTTTATTGAGATATAATTGACATATAATATTGTATAAGTTTAAGGTATGCAACATAATGATTTGATATATGTATATACTGCAAAACGATTACCATAATAAGATTAACATCCATTATAATTTTTCCCCTTGTGAGGATTTTTAAGATCTGCTCTATTAGCAACTTTCAAATATACAATACAGTATTTCTATATAAGGTGACCATGCTATACATTACATCCCTAGGACTTAATTTATCTTGAAGTTTGTTATCTTTTGACCGCCTTCATCTGATACCCACATCATACTTGTCAGAGTGCTTTCACACAGCAAATTTGGGCCTCACAGTTCCTAGTACGTTCTTAATTTACTGTGGGACAGTCTGTTAAACCATTTTGGGCAACACATACCTGGGGGGGCCACAAAATACTCCTCCACAACTCGATGGGAGTTTTGTAGTAGCTCTTCAACACAGTTGCCTTCTACCACATTGTCAGATCGCAAGTACAGACATCTACAAAACCAGAAGCTTAAGGTTACCGTCTCAGAACAGCTTCTAGGGATGAGTGGAGAGGGTCAAGAACGGGACAAGGGAACAGCATATTCTGGAGTTAGGGTCACTGCTCAAAGATGGAGGAGCGATGTTCAACAGTAGACCAAATAACAGCCTACAGTTTATAGATTCTCCCCAAAACCCTGTGAGGTAAGTGGTAATTCCTCAGGATTGATACGTTCAGTAAATATTTTTGATGATTACTATGGATAGGTTGCTTTGGTGGAGAGAGGTAAACTCCCACTCTTCCCAGGGCCTACTGGCTTCATTAAAGTATCCAGGTGACAAACTAGTGAAACATGGGTTGAACATATGTATGGGGATTCACTATTTTAAGCTTTAAAAGTCCATGAGAAGAGGCCTGAGCCTGTTCCAGATACTTGGGCTGAAAAATAAGTAGTCTGCTCAGTCACTGATAGCAGCCAGGCTCTTTGTGCTTTGAGCCAGACACAGCCTGAGGGCCAAGCCTCCTGGGACAATGGGGCCAAGGATGTGACATGAACATCTGGGTAAAGGCTGCGTAGAGGGCCGACTTGTCACGATTCTTTCAGAAAAGGATTGGTTTTTATTTCTCTTGTGGCACGCAGCCTAGGAAGAGACACAATAAACACTTACTCATGGTACAAAGAGTGGCGAGCTGGACTCTCAGGATCTGGCACTGTCTTAACTGTGTGGCCCTGAACAAGTATGATCTTTCCAGACCTTAAGTTTCTTGCCAAAAATGAAAGCTGCACTAGATTTTTTTTAAATCATACAAGGATTGGGCATTCATGCACATTTAAGGAAACTTGGAAAACAAAAATAAAAATCATTAGAAGGAAAAAGAAGAAAAAAAATTAAAAATCACCTGTAAAGGTGACCACTGGACTTTCTGGAGTTTATATTTCTGTTGGGCAGTGTAACAAAATGGCTAAGAGCTTGGGCTCCAGAATCACAGCTGAATTCAAATGCCAGAGCCACATGGCCTGTATGCAAGTTATGCAGCCTTTCCATGTTATCACTTTCATTATCTGTATAATGCTTCAGAGAATTGCTGGGAATATTAAGTGAAATAATGTTCACGGAGATCTGACAGTGCTGGGCCTGCGTTCTCATGGCAGGAAGAGGTGGGCACTAAATACCACCCGCTCCTTTCAGAAAGTCTACCTACCCCAAGCACGCCTCAGTCCCCCCTCACTCGGAGAACACCTATGCACTTAACCTGGGTCCTCATGCATGACCTGCCTGGTCCCTAGGGACTGGAAGCTGCTACTTGTTCCTGGGCACTTGGAGATTTTGATGGAATATGAATGCTGCAGCCAACAGGTGATTAAAGACTACTGCTTCCCGGCAGTGGGTAGCAGTTGATTTGTTCACTCATTTGGTAATCAGGTTTCCTGTGTAAGTGACATTTCCAAACCGAAATCCACCTCTAAATGTCACACATTTCCACCTAATTACTGTTTGACATGGAGTCGTTTCTAGACTAAATCCACACCTTTCTATGAATCATAGGCTACTAAGCCCAGGGTCTCTGTAAGGGTGGCACACCAAGCAGACCCCTCACTTGGCAAGTCACTTAACTTCTTGACTTCAAATCATGCATAAAATGCTAAACAGGACCAGATGAGCTCTTCAAGTGCTTGTCAATTACTGACAATGTCTGCCTCACCTCACAAAGCTTTCTCAGTCAGGGTTCTACTATTGTAGAACAGTTGAATTTGGTCCAGATAATGTTTTAATCAACTTCTGTGCATCTGGGCTAATAGTTACGTACTATCCTTCACAGAATTGAAAAAGAGTAACGTGATCGTTCTGTGTTCTCATTCAGATGAAAAACCCTGGTTGAGAAAGTTTCCAGCAGTGAATTAGAAATCCCTGCCCTCTAAAGCTCACAGACAAGGCACTGAAACCAGTAACTGGGAAATGCAGTAGTTAATTTAACAGCCGCATGGAGGAAGAAGCGCCTCTGCCGGCCCTCGCGCTGACCATTGGGACAGTTCTGCTGCTGTTTTTGTTTCTTTCTGCCTCTTCCCTGGAATCAGGCTGCCAGGAGTTGTTTCTCTGGGTGCCACTCTACTTCCATCTACAAGTCTTTCCATTTATTTCTAGTTTCATGCAGACTGGAATTGAGAGCTAATTGATTTGGTAAATAAGGTTCTGAGGGACATCCTAAGCATTGAAGTATGTGACTGCAATCAGAGATGCCATCATCTGAGTCAGTCTCTGGATTTGAGATGAAAAACAATAAAGTTTCTAAAGGCTGACTTGAGGTGGCATAGCTAGAGCAGTATTTGAGAGCAGCTCTGAGTTCCAAGTCTTGGATTCTCCTCTTACTACCTGTGGAACTTTGTCGAGGGTAACAACCTTCCTGAGCCTTAGTTCCTTCATCTTCTTTACCTTTTGGGATTGTATCTGATAACTGAGATATAATGCATATAAAATCTTAGTGCCTGGTATGTAAGCACACTAATACTTTTTAGCTCGAAACAAGTGACGGGTTATTAATGTGCCAAGAGATTTCTATTAGCCAGTCAAGGCCTTTATAGCTAGTGTGACTATCACCTAAAACCCTTTTAACACTTGACTTAACTAGGTTCCATTTCAAATGTCAGTGAAGGCAGTATGTCCAAAACACGAAAATCCTACAAATGTCACACATTTGAAATGGAATCATTACCCTACTGGTTTCCTAATTTATGGCAAGACTGTAAATCACTGGATCCAAATCCCTCTTCAACCTTTCCACAGACTTCCCTGAGTAACAGTTGCATTTCTTTATAGTTAACCTCTAGATGACTGAGGAAACTGACTCCTCTTTGCACTTTTATTCCCTTTCCCGTAGATATTAATAAAGAATATTCAACGAACATTTACTGAGTGCTCAGTGTTAGAAGATGATGGGCAGCAGGAGAGGGGCAGAGAATCAAAGATCACTTAAATAGATGTATAAAAATATGATTACAGCTCTTTTAAATACCATGTGAGCCACAGGTCCTGAAAGGGAACCTGACTCAATATAAAAGAATGAAACTTCCTTAAGGAAGTGGCAGTTGAAATCTAAAGAAAGGAGGTTAAGTAGGCAAAAAAGAGAAGTGGGTGGGATGAAGGGGCAGTAAAAACAAGAGGCCAGAATTCTAAGAAGGCTAAAGAATGGAGAGCTCTGAGGGATCACTGTCTTGAAGAAGTGGGCAGGGGTGTGGTTAAATGATGCCTCCTAGGTGAGGTGAAAGTTTCCTCCTTATTCTAAAGAGCACCGGGGAGCCATCTCAAGGGCTTGGGTAGGAGAATGATACCAGATTTGTTTTGAAACACCGTAACTTTGGACAAATTTGTTAACCTCCCTAGACTTAAGCATCACTTTACAAAATAGAGGATATGAAGAAATCAAAGACTGGAGTGAGACCATGAGGCTAGCAAGCACTTTACACGAAGGTTATAGTTACAGAGGAGGTGGATCTCCTACCAGCATTAATGGCAGCTACTCCCACCTGTGGTAGTTTGTTTTTTTTTTTTATTCCATCAGGAAAAGGCTAAGACAGAGTTGTAGGCTGCCCCTATCTTTATGAACTACATACCCACCCTTCCTAAGAAACTGTAGTCCCAAACAACAAGTCTGCTTTTCAAAAAATACAGCCTCTTTTTAAATGTATTAAGATTTGGCAACAACTGGTAGAGGTGGGTAGAAGTTGCACCCTTTAAGAACAGTATTCACAGGCTGCTTTGTCAATGACCTGCCCCCTCTACTGCATTACACGACACGACTTCACTACTTGGGTTATTTCTCTGCTCCCTTATTTGTGTTTTTGAGTGCTAAGTATAAAAGGAAAAGTTAGAACTTCCCTCTGCATTTCCACTTTCTTTAACACTAACATTGTTAACAGTTTCTTGCATGCCCTTTCAGGGAACAAAACAAAACTTAATGCATACCAGAATATATAAAATAGATTACACATAAAGTATCAATAATACCACATACAATGTCCTGAACTTTGCCTTTTTTATTAAGTACATCTTGGAGACCTTTCTATATCAGCATATATAATTTCATTATTTTTAATTGCCAAATATTCCAGTGTATGATGAGGTATTTAGCCACGAAAGACTGTTTCTGGGTTTTTTTGTTTGTTTCTTTTCTGTTGTTTTGTATTATAAGCAGATTTGCAAACCCTGCACGCTTGCGCACACATCATTAAGCACTTTCACAGATTTCCATAGGGAACTGCTAGGTCAGAAAATAATGTGCATTTGAAATTTTTGAGGCAGAAATCCAGCAGTAAGCAAGTCAGACATGAGCTCACGTTCTAATAACAAGAAACAGTACAACATCAACAAAAATAAGATAATCAAGAAAAATATTAGAAGAAAACCCAAGAGAATAAGGAGTTAGTGACTGGAAGGGGAGAGGGTATTTGGTCAGGAGAGGCTAAAACCAGCCAAGAAGACAGGAACAGCAAGTGCAAAGATCCTAGAGAGGGAACGCATCCGGCGTGTTGGAGAAACAGTGAGGGAAGCCAGTGTGACTGGAGTGATACGAATAGTATGTGGGAATGGAAAGTTAGGGAGGGACTCTAGGAAGCTGGGCCTCAAAGGTGAAGCTTAGCAGTTCGGATTTTGTTCCCAGTTACACTGGGAGGCCTCGAGAATTTCAAAGCGAGGGACAGGAGCCATAATGAACAAGAGAAAGAGTGAAAGCACCAACCCGCGGGGTGACGGGGGGGCAAGTTCTTTTACCACGCTAATGCTCCTTTCCCCTTCGTGAAATGAGACACTAATCTCCACCTTAACTGGTAGCGAAGGCGCCACAGGCCAGGCTTCGAGGGCCGCAGCCACGAGCTTACCTGTCCTCCAGGACTGACTCCATGGGCTCCACCCCGTCCGTGTCCACGGCGCGGAGCCGGTCGGCAAAGGCGATGGCTTTCTCCAGCCGCGCCACGGCCTCCTGGCTGCCGAAGTCCACAAGCGCGAGCCGCTCCAGGTGCTCGATCAGCTCGGCCGTGACCCGGCCACTTCCCTGGGGGGATGAGGCGGACGGTGTGGGTCACGGGTGGGGCCTGCTCCGCCTCCCGCCCCGCTTCAGCACCCGCCCGGGAGCCCCGGCCTTTACCTGACGGATCCGCCCCCAGCGGAGGTGAAGCTCCGGCGCCGGGACGCCGCCGAAGCCCGAAGGCCCAGGCACGCAGCCCGCGCCCACATCCCTCTCCTTCTCGGCCTCCGTAGTGCGTCCTCTCGTAAAGCCGAGCGACGCGTTTAAAAGTGATGACATCCGAGAGCGCCGCCGCCGCCGCCGCCGCCGCCGCCATGAACAGCGTCGGGGAGGCTTGCACCGACATGAAGCGCGAGTACGACCAGTGCTTCAATCGCTGGTTTGCCGAGAAGTTCCTCAAGGGGGACGGCTCCGGGGACCCGTGCACTGACCTCTTCAAGCGCTACCAGCAGTGTGTTCAGGTGAGCTGCGGCCCGAGCCCCGCGTCCCCGGCCACATGTGTCGTGTCTTGAGGGGGTTGGGACGGGCAGGGTGAAGAAAAGCCTCAGCGAGACCTGTGGTAGTTCTCTCGCCTGGTATCTCTCGAATAACAAAGTTAATTATTTTTACAGCGTTTTACTTTTTATGGAGCCCAGTAACATTCTTTGGTTCATTTGGTGCTCAACCTGAACTTTCAACGTGGGCATACTTATTCATATTTTATGCATGGAACACTCATGGCCAGAAATAGGAAGGGACTAGTCGAAGGTCACTAGAATCAAGTTTCCTTGGTTTGCGGTGGTGT